ATTAATTACCATTTCATACTCTTAACCCTTTCAAGGTTCAACTCAGGTCAAAGTCAAAGCCAAGGTCAACATCCTGGTCAAAGTCAACTTTTTGGTCAAGGTCAACATCTAGTTGACCCAACTCTTCGAGTTCCATAATCCTCAAAGTGTTGGGACTTTGATCCTACTCATCGAGTTCTCCTTTATACAGAATCGGAACCTTTTTGCTCATGACTCGCTGAGCTCATCCTTGAACTCGTCGAGTCCTGTTTCATAAAAGTTGAAGTGTTTAGTCATTGACTCACCGAGTTCTTCCTTGAACTCGTCGAGTTCTTCTTCATATAGTTGGGACATTGCCTACAACTCACCAAGTTTGTTCTTGAACTCTTCAAGTTCTTTGATCTTCAAGTCCATATTCATGTCCATCCTGTTAAGTCCTCTTCTAAACTCAACCAGATCGATCAGAACCCAAAAGGTTGGGGAACCATAACCCGACTCGCCGAGTCCCATGAAAGACTCGTCGAGTCCCCCAAAGTTCATGTCTATACACTTGATTTCAGTCGGGCTTAATGCATCCAGAACATAGATATGGCCTCCTAGGGTCCATATTACACTTAAAGTCATGAACTTTACGTCCATGCATGGGTCTTCAAGCTCAAAAGACCCAAAAATGAAGTTCACAAGGTACATGGGACTCCCATGGCCATAAAGTTGGCACCTTTATGCCATGTAGAAAGAGCAGTGGAAGTATAAAAAGAAAGGGAAAGTTTGAGTAGAAAGAGTAAGAGAGTTGGAATGGAGAGAAAGAAAATAGAAAGAAGATGGGAGATAGAAAGAAAATAGAAAGAAGATGGGAGATAAAAAGAAAATAGCTAGGGAGATAGTGCGAACATCGGTCAAGACTTCTATGGAAATATGATAGTGTGCACTTGGTGTAAGAGGACATATGTTGATGATGTGTCCATAAAAGAAAGTTTAAACAAGTGCAAAGAGAAAGAGATAGATATGTAACTCCCAAAGTGAGAAAAATTGGACTCGTGAGATTATGTAGATATGTGTATGTTATGTAACAGTTCATATTTGAGTAAATGTTAGAAAGGGAAGAAAATTGAACCTTATGTGTTATAAGGGGTAGATAAAGAAAGATTGTAAGGTGCATAGAATGGTGAGAAATTAGTGGACTCGTGATAAGAGTCTAAGACTAGGAATAGAGCCCCAGTAGAGAATGTGGCGTCCAAGTATGGTATAAGAATGAGAATATAAAAACATTGGGAGTGTCTGATTCCCCGATGTAAAAGATAAGTATGCTTGTTAGGATGTATCTATTGATGTATCACGCGTAGATTTTATAATTAGAATTATGAAAGTGATAGAAGCTAGTTAGTGAGCATCTACGAGTTAAAGTATATGCATTCCCAAAAATTTCATGTAGAGAAATTGGGTTGTAAGAGAAGATAGAAAACTTGTGAATCACGGAATGGAATGGTGAAAATGAAACTATATAAGTATAGTGTATATGCAGTCTTATGGGTACCACAGACACATGGTACTTCTTGTGATTCAATGGAATCATAAAGCTACCTCGGGATAGAGTGGGTTGTGATGAGAAGTGTTAGCATGGTATTTGGGAAGAATTTTCCATGTATGCATTAAGACTTTGGTTCTCATGATCAGTACAAGAATAGATGTGAAGGTTCGGTGTACAAACACTAAGAGATTATTGAGTTAAAGGTCGCGGTTATATGCAACAGTTTAGAAAGAATATGAAGTGAATATAAGTGATACATCACAAAGAGTTTAGAAGAGAATTAGAAAAGTGGTGGTGTACTTACCTATGAAATAAAGGTAGTGCATTGGAAGTGTAGCAGGTTATAGCCTACTTAAGAGTAGACGTGTAACACTTGAATCCTGGTAAGTTTCTTTATTACCCTTATTATTATTAATGTTTCATTTTTGGTCCTTGAGTTGTACGCTTAGTGTACAAGCTATAAAGCGAGTATGCGGGGCGTACCATGTGGTACGCTTAGCGTACTCATGTGAGGCAGGATCGGAACTCTGGACATGTACGTTCGGCTTACGTATATATATGCGGGGGCATATGTGAGTCATTTAGAAACCCTAATTTTCAGGGTTGGCCTCTATATAAACAACATTATAGATCATGAACTCTCATTTCTTAGCCTCCATTGTCTCTATAGCCTCAAGCATGAAACCTTAAGCCTCTCCTTTTGTGTTTTGAACTCATTGTGTTCATTTTGGTGGTTTTGGTTCATATTCAAGAAGTAGAAGCTTGGAGCAAGGTGGTTGGTCAAGGAAGAGCTTGTGGATCTCGTTTATTTGCTTCACTTCTAGCTTGTTTGATGTAAAAAGCTATGAACTTTCTCATTAGTGGATTAGATCTATCTTTTGTGTGTTTTAGTCCCTTTTGGCCCCAAGAATGAGATATAGTTGTTTGATACCACTCCAGGAGCTTTGAGTTGCCACTTTTGGTGTTTCTACGGTTCTAGATGCATAAAGTTGTCACCTTTAAGGTTTAGATCCATCCATGCATGAGTTTATCCCCATTTTGTGAAAGTAAAATGTTATATCTTGAAGTTGGGATATTTTGGGGCATGCAAAGTCACCTAGTCAATGACTTTATGGTTCTAGATGTTTTTTAGGGCTAAGCTCTGTGATTTTGGCTTCTGGTCTTAAGCATTAAGAGCTTAAGGTTGATTTTGGATTAATGGTTGAGTACGTTGGGCGTAAAAGTCCATACATGTGGCGTACAACCTAAGTTGCGTGTACGCTTAGCGTACAGCTGAGTACGCCCCACGTACTCAGCCTATTGAGCTTCACAGCTTTTGGGCCTCGATTGGGTCATTTCTTTGGACTTTGTTACTTTGGGCCTTAGTGGGCCACTTGGAATCAAGCTTTTGGGCTAAGATTTTAGACTAGGAAAATTGTTGGGCTTTAGGATAAGGACCAAAAAGGGGTTTGGGCCCAATTTGGAAAACTGAACCATAAGTGGGCCTTGGTTGATTATTTGGTTTTAGGCCTTTTAGATATTGAGTTTGGGCCTTCGCTTAAGCCAAACTAGGTGAAGGGTAAAATGCTCTTTTTACCCCAAGTGTGGATTGTTGGACTTATGGTTAGGGATTGGAATCCAAATATTAATTAGGTGCTATTTTGTATTGATAACTCGGGGATTCGCTGGACCATCAGTCAGGGATTTTTCAGTGAGACTCAGCAGTCGTGGTGAGTTTCTTCATCATGTTTAGCGGGTAGAAGGCACCAATGTCGACCCATGATATGTTCTATTAGATTACTCATTTTCTGTGTGACACTAGTATGTGTATTTGCTTATATATATATATATATATATATATATATATATATATATATATATATATATATATCATCTGCTTGATCTCCTCAAGACTGGGGTCTAATGAAGAATCCTCATAATACCTTTTTTTCTTATCATAATGCCCACCAATTTCCTTGTAAGAATCACTCAAGTTGGTACGATGCTGATCATACACAACAACAGTACTACGATACTTATAATGGAATCCCCCATCGGAAATAGAACTGCAACTAGCGTGATCACCTCCAAAGAAGACAAGGGTAAAACTATCTTTTATCTCCTGCTGGTAAGTCTCCGTGGAAAGCAAATCGAGAAATCCCTGATCTTATGATTGGAGAACTGGATGTTGACGATTAGCAACATTAATTCTAGGGCTAGATGGGATAGATAAGGTTTGATCATGGTAGCTAGAAGTATTTGTACTGTACAAATATAATGGAGACGAATTATTGATGATGATAATGGAGCATTAACATTGATACTACTATTTTGAAAAATTGATTGTGATGGGTAGCTGTAGTTTGTTGAAGAACTAAAACATTGAAGATGTTGAAGAGGTTTTCTAACTTTGGGTAGGGTGATTAAGTTGTTTATTATCTTCTTCTTCAGCTTTGTGTTCCAGTAGTTCTTAATATCATTGTCTGATCTTCCTGATAACTGTGCTGCCATTATTAACCACCTGCACATTAAGTTATTCAAACTTCTAGATTTCTGCATATATATTCACATCTGAGAGATCTTGACAAAAATCTCCATTTTTGTGTGCTAAATACCACAAAATCGCCCTTAATACATAATCTTGAAAAATAAAGTGTTCCTGCTACCAATGCTAGCAAAGAGGACACATATAACTTTATCTTCATCATCAGAAAATTCGCCATGTTTAATGTTTGGTCTTAGATAGTTCAACCATTGAAATGAGAGAGAGAGAGAGAGAGAGAGAGAGTACAGTGGGGTAGGGGTGGAAAATTCTTTTTTCTTTTTTTTAAAGTGAAAATATTATTAAAATACTTATAGAAAAAGAGAAAAAGAAATAAAAAGGGTATAACCATCTTTTTAAGTTTATTTGGACCAAAAACCCAGAAAAACCTTGATTTTAGACCTTCCATGCAAGTTGAAAACTTTTTGGACCCTATCCAAAGTTTTTTTTGAATACCACAGGAACTAAATTTGCAGTTTTGTTTTTTTTTTTCTTTGTTTATCATTTTGGTTGTAATCAATCGTTCAATCAGATTCTTTAGGCATCATGCTTTCTATTGGTACAAAATACAATCTTGTCTACCATGATCAAATATTCATCTCTAAACACTATAAATAAAAATGTAAACTTGTATATGCAAATATCGATCAAGTAAGATTTCATGTAATTCTTCTTAGTGGAGAGTTTGCTAGTATATATCAAATTACGTTTTTTGTTAGTCATTTTAAAGAATACTTTAGGAAGTTCTATTTTTTGCATTTGTAAAACTCTTTGGAGTTATTTTGTTTTAGAAGCCGGAAAAACATTCACCATTCTGCTATTGATTTCTATCTACATTGGAAAAAAAAACACAAGTTTGCTCTCAACATGTGAAATGACAATAATAACCCTAGTCAAAAAATAAAAAGGTGAAAGCATTTACATCATGCTATCAGTCATTAAGCATCTTAGCAAATGTTGTAACCATTAACATTAAGCCATGAGTCCATCTGTGTCCACTACATTGTGACTTTCTAATTCTTTCAATGTTGATCCAACAAGAGCCTGCAGAAAGAAAGTAGGACACAAGGGCAAATCTGTAAAAAAAGCTAGAACTTAATGTCTCCTTTCATGACTACTCTTTCTATTAAGCTAGTCTGTCTACATTAAGTCAAATAATAATAATAATAATAATAAGAGAGACTAACCTGGAGTTCCTCTTCACAGCTTTTAAGTTTCTCACTATATTCTCTCATATTAACAAAACATTTATGAAGCTACATCAAAAAAAAAAGAATTATATAACATGAATACACCAAAAAAAAAGGAATTAATGGGAATCACCTTAATCAACTGTTTCTTGCGATTTGAAGTGAGTTTTTTAGCAGATGCAAGTGCATCCTCTAGTTTCTGTAACAAAAAATAAAGATCATGAAAAACTGAAGGAGGGTAGAATTGTAATTTGGTGTTTATTATGAGGATGTTAATTATAAGACCTGGGACTTTTCCTGCAGCTTAGATACATGATCACCTTTCTCTTCTACAAGCTCTTCCATTCGATAAACCTAAGTTTCACATTAACACAAGGCAGTAAAACATAAAGCACAAACTTACTAATACTGTCTAAAAAAGCACCACAATTAACTATTTTTATTTTTGTTTAAACAGAAACAATTAATTATCATTATCATATAGATAAAAGCATTTTGAAAAGCAAAAACTCAAACCTCTTTCTGAAGTTCTTCTATTTTTTGGCGTGAAACATCGAGTTGTTTTGCAGCATGATGATCATTAAAATCAGAACTGCAGAAACATATACACTTTAAACAGCATTAACGTGATATTCTGTTGTCAAGCTCATGTTTAACCATATCATGTGATAGTGAAATTCCTTGATTTGGAGATAAATATAGTAATTTACTACAAGGGTAAAATGGTAATCTTACCCATTTTGTCATTTAGTTGTTTGATCTTTATACTTGTTTCCATTCCTATGATGAATGTCACTTCTTCTTATCTCCTTCTCTTGATCCCTATCATTTTCCCATGCTTGATCGCGTTCATCCATGTCTCTGTCTCTGTCTCTGTCCCTGTCTCTATCAGTGTCCCTATCAATGAAACGGTTGCGTGTCCGATCAAGATCACGTGCACGCTCATATCCCCTTTCTTTATCTTGATCAAGGTCTCTAGACCTATCCCTAACACGACCATAGTTTCTCTCTCTATCTCTACCCCTATCCACCTCTACATCTCTATCATTACTATTTCTTCGAAAATTGTCACGTTCACGCCCAAAGTTTGACCTTCCACCTCTACTTTTGACTTCATTCACCTTAACAACTCGTCCATCAACAGTCTGAAATGAAACAGATCCATTGATTCAGAAGATTGAAAAAACTAAAAAAAAAAGAAAGAAAGACATTAAGATGTGACCAAATATAATTTTATACGAATACCCTTCCATCCATATCATTGATGGCATCAACTGCAGATCGGGGATTTGTGAAAGTAACAAAGCCATAGCATTTTCCACCTACTCCACGATCATTGATTATCTGGAAGTGATATGTAGAAGCAGATGAAATTAGGTCATCTTCTATATATTGAGGCAACAAAACGGCAATATGAAAGTAACAAATACATGGATATGTTTTAGGGCAAATAGAATGAAGTTACTGAAGATTATGTGGCATTATTGAAATTACATGGTGAGTTCATGCTAACTGATTCTCAATCCATCACAAACGTTTAAAAAGTTTACTCTTGACATATTCTTAATAAAGGAAAACACTACTAACGATTTTGGTTCATCAATCATAAGCTACAAGTAATACTAATCCCTTCGATCATAGAAAAACAGCTCACTAATTTTCCCCAAAAGTAACGTTTAATCGCGGCGATTATTAGTTGTTCGTAAATGCACATCAATTAAGTTCAAAGAATATCATTCCTCTTCTTCTTTAGTCAATGGAAGGAGTGTATAGTATATACAATTGACAAATGATTTTATAGAAAGCAAAAACATAGAATCATAAACTAAATAAGGTTGCAAATTCACACACTAAGTTTACCTTAACGGCGATTATTTGCCTGTAAATATCGAAGACACTTCGAATACTATCTTCAGTAGCGTCGTAAGGCAGGTTGCCGACATACACGGAGTTCTCGTCGTCGACTGTCATTTCGTTCACCACCACCAAAACCTAATTCGCCGGAAGTAGGGAGTGGTGAGTGGAGACCCAATTTTGCAGAATTCTTATTGACGCAATGTCGGGTTGTACCGTGAGTACAACTTAGCAATGCAATTATTGATTTTGTTAAATATTTTAATTTCTTATTTCCATACAGCCACAAGTTTTTGAATTTTAAGAAAATATAATGGGTGACAAATTTTAATTTTTAACTAGGTGGGAACCCCCGCTGCTACGCAGGGTATGGATTTTTTTGTAGTTTTTGTCATTTTTCAGTAGCTCAACAATGCAACTTAACATTAGATAACATTTCATTAATAACTTATTCACTAACAAAAATGACAAATCCAAACCCTTGAGATCGGTTGGTGAAACTAAACTTCATCTACACAAACAAAACAATAAATATCATATGTTTACAGAAGAAATTTGTTTGTGAGATTGGAAAACCCCCAATACGAAATTCAAATTACATATAATTGGAAAAGCACAACAAATACAATTTCTAAAATTCTGAAATTGAAATTACAATCATCAAAAAGGGTGAAACTTACCATAACAACCATAATTTGCTTTTTGTTAACAACATTTAAACCGATATAACCGAGTAACAGGAAAAAAAATTAGAAAGGAAAAATAAAGCCTTAACCTGCACTCAAATAGAACACTACAACTATGGTGATTGTCATTCATAAGATCGTCAAGTTTCTTCAACCTCTCCTATTCAATGCAAAAACAAATTCCAATATTACCCATATTCCGGACTTTAAAAAGATATAAACAAAGTTTATTTATAAAAAAATATAAAATCATAGAAAATAGTGAGACTCACTCAGAATTTGATGAGACCACATCCTTGAAAGCATATACACGTTTCGCTGTCGAGTACACATGGAAGGCTCTCTCATAGAACAAATTTACAAAAAAAAAAATGTTAACTATACGGTGATTCAAAAAATAATTACAAATGAAAGTTTTTTAAAGTAAAAAAAAATTAACTGATGGAATACATGAGAAAGTAGGTTGGTATTTTGTGAAGTTACCTGGAATAACTTGTAATGTGTGGCAGCTTTTATCACATCCAGTGAAGTGGCAGAGTCAAGAATTATGGAATCTAAGTTTTTACCGGTGATTATCTTAATTTCATTAGATGTATAAGGCTCCTCTTTCAGATATTTTTTCATTTTTAACCAAAGATAGCAACCAAGTTATATTTTTTTTACCGTTTAAAGCAAAACGTTGAATATAAATATATTATAGGAGTTAGATGATGACGTGGCGACACTCGTGCCATGTCATCATTTTTGGTAGCCGAATGAATACCTTAACAGCAATGGTAGGGTTGGAAGACCCATGGGCCCCAACAAAGGATGCACATAAAGCTTCTACATCAGAAACGGTTTTCACTTTTTAAATTGCCTCTTCAGGTTCCCTTCCGAGTTTTATGCCCAATAAAATCTGCAAAAAATAAATAAATACAGAGTTTTCAAAAATAGAATGATTATTAGGAAAATAGGTGGAAAGTGAAAAGCAAAATTAGAATGTAAGAGAGGTAAATATAGAATATTAGTCGGCTACTTGCCACGTAGGCCCCATTTGTTATGGAGGATTTAGGGACATACAACAATGAAATTGGAAAAGGAATGGAACAATTCATTCTATTGGAATGAAGAAAAGAAACTATTTGTTTTGTTGAACGGAATGTAATGGGTCATTCCATTCCATCAAACCAATCAAACCATTAAAGCAACACAAAAATAATGAAAAAAAGACTTTTCTTTAATCTTACAGAAGCTAAACAACATTCAACAACATGATTATTGTAGTTTGTTGCAGCAGTTACAACTTTCTGTGATTCAGCCAATGAATGAACAATTAGAAAAGTTCTGTCAGCTGGCAGTTGCACATCAGTTGCACGAAGAGGGTTGAAATCTATTAGGTCAGCAAATCCCGTTTTTCCATTATGGATATTGCCTAGTTCAATAAAAAATACAAATTATAACATTGTACTTCTAAGGTACTTCCTATGCGTTCATTATACCATTCCACTTTCATTTATTAAAAAGGAAAGTATGATGTTAATTTTTTGCATTTAAGCACAAAATGTAATTACTCGAAAAGTTCATTGGTTTATGAGAAATATTATATGTATATACCTGATCCATTCCACCATATTATGTCCCAAAATGTCTTTCACACTCACAAGTAAGTTGAACAACTTCTTTTTGTAATAGAGTAAACAAAGAACAATATTATCAACAAAACATATCATACATAATTTGTATGGAAGTTATAACATAAAACTGTTTTAAGATGAAGATAGGAAATCAATGCAACAGTCAATTAATTCGGGAAATAATTAATTAAACATCAACAATTTGTTAAAACCCTCCTCAACATTCATAAATATTATTAAAAAAATCATACGACAACCATTCAAGTAGTTTTCACTTTTCATCAAACTGAAAATGTTTCCCTTCACCACATGTTGACCAAAAAAATATATAATTTAATTTACCTCCTCCAAAAGATATGTATCTGCTGATAGAACACCAATATCTCGTACAAATGCTGCATAATTTTATCCTCCACCTGCTAACCTTTGGATCTTTATTTTTTCATTAATTGTGGCATTTTATCAAACAGGTAGTAGGCAAAAAAAAAAGTCCTTATTAGAAATAGGTTTAATCAATCAAAGATGCAATAGAGACGGAAAAGATATAATCCATGAAATGAAAATAAAAAACTTTTGGATTTCTAGATTCATTTTAAAATAGAAGTCTGTTATGATTGTGGTCAGGAAAAATTTGAAAGAACGTCATACCTGATGTTGATTCAATGTATTTTACTTCAAAGCAAATGTGGTGTAAGTGTGATAGATTTTGTCCCACAACCTGAAGGTGGATCTCCATATATATGTCTTACCAGATTAAATCAAACTCCAAGCTCCCTTATTGCTTCTGGAAGCTCTGCAGGGAGGAAAGCTAGGTGCTGTTTGTTTTTTGGAAAAACCTCTTCAAATCTCTTACTGCTGCGCGGCACAGCACACGCACAACACTTTTCATCTCGTAGTTGTTTGTTTTTTAAAAGTATTCTGAGTCAAAAACCTCTACGCGTGCTGTGTTTGGCGCAACACTTGTACTGCCTTTTTTTATTGCTGAAATTTTGATTATATGTTATTAAAATTTTATTTCACATTTTTTCCTTTTTTTTTCGTTTATTCTTATTGAATTTATTTTTCATTTTTTTTAATATTCAATAATGATAATTTCTTGATGAAATATCATTATTTTTTACTGAAAATATCTTTATTTTTTGTTGAAATATCATTCTTTTTTACTGAACTATCATTAATTTTTACCGAAATGTTATACTTTATTAAATTTTACGTATTAAAAAGCTATTTTCGGTTTATAAAATTCGTTTATTTTAATTTTTTAATATCTGCAGCAGTATGTAGATGTTAAAAAAACAAACACGCTTCTTATTATAGTCTGCAGCCGTTTGGTCCACCTCTTCTACTGCAGAGGGTTGCAGAGGTGGTCCGCAGACTTCATGACTTTAGGGGCATTTTCGTCTTTTTCTCTGATTAATCTAAATGGGAGAATGCACGTGATTGAAGGTTCAAGAAGCTGCTGATTCTCTAGGTGCTGATTGTATGCCAAGATATGCTGAAAATGAATTCTTACTTCAGAGTTGTTACATCACTAATATTTGGCGGCTAATACCTGAGCAAGTAAAGTCTATCGTTAAGCTTCATTCTACTTGCCCATTCTTATATTCGAACAAATAAATTAAAATTAAGAACACACTTAAACAAACATGAAATTGAAAGCATATAGAAAGAGGGATGAACAATCGTCACCTGGGAATCGGAATAGCTTCATGAATTACCAAGGTAAAGTTAAAATAACCCTGATGAACATCCTTCAATGAAAACAACACGTTAATCCATCATCACCCCTACTCCTGACCACCACTTCTACACCATTCCCACTTAAAACAACCGTCAACCACCTCCCTTATTTCTCCAATCAAGCCATCATTCACCCGCCTCCATTACCACCTCGCATCCACACCAAAATCACAATAAGTTCTTTAATGAAAATTTGCACTTTGTGAATCATACATAATTAAAAGACATGGGTTGAAAAGCATATCCCTTATATGGCTAAAGTAAACATGGAACTGTAAAGTGAGGATAAGAATTGGTCTCTAAATTAGTAGGCTAATTCAGGCATATACATCTTTTCTAGAGCTACTAATACGTGGATAAGAATTGGGTTTGTAAATCCGTTTGACAGATGGCGGTTGAGTCAAAGGCATATACACATGCTTCTTTCTTCCATTCCCAACAGATGGCAGTACACTGAAACAGAAAAAAAAGGTAGATGGAGAACACCAAACCTGGAATAGCAAGACGACGGAGGAGGAGGGGAATCGATTTTCTAAGCTGAAACAGAAACGAAGGCACCGAATGTTCTCCAATCGAAGATGGAAGCTTCAATCCATGTAGAAAAGGAGAAGGTTTGTCGTCGACGTCACCAGCTCTTCAGTAGCATCTTTCGTTGCTACTCGATCATACGATCTTTGGTGAGAGAGCAAGGCAATAGGGTGGAAGAAGAAGAGGGAGCACCGGTGAGATTTTTTTTTGGGTTCAAGGTTCGTCTTAGTGGAAGAATCGGTGGTAGTTGAGGCGGTGGACTAACCCAAGCAAAGGAGAAGCAGTGACCTCATTGGCTTACATAGGAGCTTAGAGATCCAGAATTAGCTCCATCTTTTGGTGAATTTCGAGGTATAAAGTCCATACCTTATTTACTATTTGATTTGATCTACTATTTATTATAATCCTTTTGGTTGGTCTTGATGAGTTAAGGCCATTTGAGAAGCTAAACCTTGTAGATCTGGATGTTTTAAGGGGTCCTTTGGCATAAAAATGCAAACTTTATGGTATTGGTGGTCTCATGCATGCATTAAGTCATTTGTTAAGT